ATTACCTTGAACAAGGCCGAGGAGGAAGGGAGGTGGCCAAGGAATGGAAGGGAAGGGAGGGAGGCGACAACAGAGGACCGGACGCCGACAGCACTTGGGAGTGACGGACAGGCAGGCGGGGCGGCGGGCGTGGCGGGCGTGAAGGCACGGGCGGACAGGCGGCCAGACACGACAGGGAGGCGGGACTAGGCCACGGTCCTTTAGCCGGCTCTACCACGCCACCGATCAGGACGCGTCACTGTCGCGCCAAGATCGGTGGCGCGGCAGACCATGCCACGTCACCGGTCAACGCCCGGTCGTCGTCACGTCATCCCTCTCGCCGCGCCACCATGCATGGTGCGGCACAGGCGTTTCGCCACGCCACGGAAATAGGTGCGACCAAAAGTATTAGTTTTAGAAAAAAAATAAAATAATGTTAGATTTAAAATTAGTTTACAAAAAATGTTAAAAATAAAAAAAATTCACGAGTGACAATACCTTGTACCCGTTTCGGACCAGTCTGCGCAGACACACGCCGGTGCCCAGACACACGTAGACACGCCCAAGACCCCACTTCGGACCAGCCTACTACCATGCTCTAACGCAAAAAAGCAAAGCGTTTTCTTTTCAATTGCTATAACTTTTGAATGTTGTATCCGTTTTAATTCCGTCTATATTGGTGTGTTCTACGTGACGAGGTGAACAAAACTAGACCTCAGTTGCGTATGCTTCAATAAATTTTGTTTTAATAGCGATTTATGTGTAAATATGTGCTAGGAGATTTATCAGAGAAATTATTACTATGTAATACTAAAGTTGCTACTCTAAAAATATACTAAAATTATTATATAATATGCACATCGATTGTTATCATGGAAATATAAATAAAATTTTTATATTATTTACATAAAAGTACTAACCCCTAAAGAGAGTAATGGACCAAAACAAGACAAGCTGCAATCTAGAGGGGTAAATTATTAAAATAAATATTGCATAACCTGCAAATTAGGGATGACAAGTTATTATAAAACACATTGCAAAAAAGTCAGAATGCATTACTTGCTGCCAACTGGTGGTATTTATTAAAAAATAAGGGCAGTTGTCGGTGTTTCGAGTTACCACCGACGAGTAAATTTCTAGTATTGCGCGTCTGACTCGGATGGTGTGCTTAGAGAACACGAGGTTTATACTGGTTTGGGCAGAAAGTCTCTACGTCCAGTTCATCGCTGCTGCTCGTGTTACTAACACTGAAAGTTTGTAGTAGAGGTTACAAATGGACGAGAGAGAAACATGTCCCAAGTCTCTGATGTGCGTGTGCTCCTAAGGCGTGTTAGGACGTGTGTTTTGATGTCTACAGCCGTGTAGAGTGGTCAACCGTCCCCTTCCTAGGACGTCTTGCTTCCCCTTTTATAGACGAAGGGGAAGAGCAGGTTATAAAGAGAGAAAGAGGGAGAAGAGGCAAGGAGAGAAAGGCTTCAGGACCGCTGGGCCTTTCTTTTCCTTTGTGCGGGTCCCGCCGGCACTGTAGATGGTGATAGGGACGGCTCCACGCTGGGCGCCTGTCCGCCGCTGATGCCACGCCCTGGCGTTGTCAGTGGGTCGTGACGTCCCATTCCGCCCCGGCGGGCGACACGACGAACCAGCGTGCTGGTCAGCGACCGTACAGGAAGTAGGCAGCATAGTGACCACGTGTCCATCGCTGTTGGTGATATGAGTTCCCTAGAATGACATGTCACGGGCACGGGTCGTGTTGAAATGTGCCCGCTCCCTGCACGATGCCAGAAGTTTGACCTTGGATTGTACTTTCTGGCCAATAGTGGTTGACGGCGGTATGGGCTTCCGTCAGGAGCCGCGCCTGAGGGGTCGGGCGAGACGGAGCCCCCGACCTAGAGGCCGGGCGAGGTGGAGCCCCCAACCCAGAGGTCAGGCGAGGCGGAACCCGCCCCCAGCGTTCGGGCGATTCGTAGCCCGCGGCCTTGAGGTAAGGGCGAGGCGGAGCCCGTGGCCTCGGGGTTGGGCGAGACGGAGCCCGCCCCCAGGGGTCGGGCGAGGCGAAGCCTGCGCACCTTGGGATCGGTTGGAGCTATAGTCGCGCTCTTAACTGGTCGGATGAATCGATGTTGATGGCCATTAGCTCCTCCTCTTCGAGTACCCTAGTATTGGTCCCCGACAATAGTGATACAAAACAAGACAAGCTGCCACCTGGAGGCAAATTATTAGAACAAGCATTGCATAAGCTATCAACTAGAGGGGTAATTTGTTATAAACCCCCAATATAAGCCAGAAAACATGACTAGCTGAAAATTGGAGAGACATTTATTAAAAAGACAACATTAGCAACCCAAAATAAGATAAGTTGACCTTGAGGGGCTAATTATTAGATGAAGTATTGCATAAGGCGGCCAACTTAGAGGGTAAATTATTATACAACTAATATGTAGGATTTAATATACATTCGAACCTAAAAGGGTGACTGAGAACTAAAAAAACATTAGAAAAACATGACTGAAAACTGAAACTAAAAAAATTGGCAAAAAAAACTTGACTAAAAACTGAAACCGGGGGCAAATTCTTATGTGTGGAATGGCTACCATTTTATAATAACTTATAAATTATAGGGGAGGCAACTAATATACATGATTTAGAAAGACATTCGAACCTAAAAGGATGATTGAAATATGAAACTAACAAAAAAATAAATAAAACTTGAATGAAAAATGAAACTTAAGAAATCTGAAAAAAAAATTGACTGAAAACTAAAACTAAAAGAGCATGACTGAAAACTAAAACTAAAAAAATAAAAAAAACTTGACTCAAAACTGAAACTAGGGGCAAATTCTTTTATGTCAACTTATGTGTGCAATGGCTACCCTTTTGTAACAACTTATACATTGTAGTTGAGACAACTAATATGCTGGATTATCCATGATAAGTTGCTACAACATCAAAAAACTTATACATAGAATCTTCACATACACAAAAGTACAACAAAAGAAACTAAAACATTATCTATGATAAGTTGCTACAATATCACACATTGATGCACATGTAGCTAGTCCAGTATATTTCTAGGCAATTGATTGCCCTGTTCGCTTGGCTGATAAGCCATGGCTAAAAGTACTGTTGGTTGATTTGTCGTGAGAGAAAAATACTATTCGTTGCATGAAAAAGTACGGCTTATAAGCCAAGCGAACAGAGCGGATATTTTCACTTCTTTTCCATCACGCAGGGACCATGGACAATGATAGGTGAAGAGATGAAGCCACTGCAAGTTTTATTTTTTTGCCTGATACAAATAAGGAAAAAGAAACTAAAAACTAAAGTAGACAAAATGAAAAACAAATAACTGAAACATAAAACTGAAATTGAAATTGAGAACCAGAAAATAGAACTGAATTTAGTTCTTGAAAACTAAAGTAGACACTACAAGCTGCGTGACCTTGTGTGGCAAGTTTAATTACAAAGTATGTAGCAAGTTATATTTGAAGCAAGTGGCAAGATACCGTGAAATGACATATTTTGAGAATTATGACTTTGAAACACATGAAAATTTAAACTGATATAAAAAGAAAAAATAAAAACAAGACAATCTGTAACCTAGGGACAAATTATTAAAACAAGCATAAGCTACCGACTGGATAAATTATTAAGTGAAACTAAAACTAAAAATGATAACATAGCTACCAAAAAATGTACTACTTTCTATATAAAGCAACTGTAGCCACTCACTTTTCTTAAATACACTTGTACCATGCTAACTGAAATTGCTAAATTAGAAATTGAAATTAAAAACTGAAATTACGAACTGAAATTGCAAACTGAAATTACTAACTGAAATTGCTAACTAAAACTAAAAACAGAAATTATGAACTGAAATTGCAAACTGAAATTATGAACTGAAATTGCTAACTGAAATTATTAACTGAAATTGCTAACTGAAATTACGAACTGAAATTGCAAACTAAAATTACTAACTGAAAATTGTAACTGTAATTAAAAGCTGAATACTAATTCAGATTAAAAAATGAAAGTAAAACTGAAAATGCTAACTGAAATTTAAAACTAAAATTACATACTGAAATTTGCTACCGAAATTAAAACTGAAATCATTCGCACTAATGAAATGCAAATTCTGAGACTCTGTGTAGCCACTATCATTTTTCTGAAGTACACTTCTACCATGTGAAGTCCACTGTGTAATTATTTTTGCCAGCAATTTCTAAAACTTGGATTCGGTACTCTTATCGGCACCTTCTTCAGTACAAATCATGTGATCCAGCAATACAGGTCAGGTCATTGTTGAGGAATTCATGTACGAATCTAGAGCATCAGTTCAGTTTCTCCATTCATTCATGACAAATCAAATTGAAATACACAAGTACGAGGAGCTCAAGGCATCCATTTTTCAGGTTGCTGACCTGTTCGCTTTTCTTATAATCCATATTTTTCAGCTTATTTTTTCAGCCGGAACAGTGTTTTTCTTTCCCAACAAATCAGTCGAAAGAGTGTTTCGGTTTGTTTTTTTCAGCGAAGCGAACGCGGCCAAATCTAGTAGGACTGGGTGAAGGTCTGTTCCTACATATCAGGTCAATGTAGTGCTCGTACACAGAGAGAAAAAGAAGATCAGCCGGAGAAAGACACCAATTTCATGGGCGAAGAAGCGATCCAGCTACCAGACTTGTGGGTGAGCCTGTTTAATCAGCGTTGCCACATCAGGCTAGCCGAGAAAGGCCTGCCGTGCGAGTCAGTAGAGCTAGACCTCTGCAAATCTCCTCCCCTGCGCAAACCCCATCCACAAGAAGATCCAGGCCCTTCACGGCGGATGCCCCGTCTGAGATGCCGGATGCAGTTGGGCTAGCGCCGTCGGGGTGAGGCCATGCGGGGTAGCGCCTGGGTGGGTGGCAGTCGAGCGAGGTGGGGGTGGCGCTGACGAGTTCCAGGGTGTTGCGCCATCGGGTGGCCGTCCGCCTCCGCCTCCGGGGGGCCGTCCGTATCCACCCGCGACACCGCCACCACCCACCATGGCGATGTGGAGGCCGCCGCCGCTGGGGGCCGCCATGCGCGCAGGTCAGGCCGAGCGCCGGGCCAGCATCCAGCCGCCACCGCGGGGCCGCAGGGGCGGGGAACGGGGGTCACGGGACCGGGGCCGGGGCCGTCGGCACGGCTCGAGGCCGCAGGTGTCGGGAACCGCGGGCGGTCGCGTGGGTTTGGGCGCACGGCTTCGCACAGCAGGAAGGGAGGACAAGGGGAGGGAATACCTGGTGTCCTGGTGGTGCTTGTCGTCAGCTATGGTGGCGAGTCGCGAAGTAGGACAGCAGCGACGGTTGCGGGGGACACCGGGGCTGCAGAGGGCGAACGCTGCGCCGGAGCTGGTCGCAAGGACGCTGGCCCCAGGTGGTGCTCGACCGAGCGCAGTCTACTCTCCGGGTTGCGGCGCGGCGAGCGGATGGTGGAGATCGGCCGTGCACCTGACCGGAGTCGCAGCCAGCTGCGCCGCCCTCGTCACGCCGGACTCGTCACCCCGTCTGCGTTGCCGGAACGAAACGAATGGGGAAGGAGCAGCCTTCGCAACGTTGAATGAGGGGAGGAGGGGTCTCCTGGGCCGGCCCGTTGCGGCCTAGAGTCGCGCGCTCGAGCAGAAGCGCGACTGGTCGCTTAATTGACTCTGCATTTGGATATGCTCCGAGAGGCACAATGAACAAAGAAATTCTAGATGGGCTTGAATATCGGGCTTCAAACATCATTGCTTAGGTTAGCTAGGTTATGATGGGCTGGATTAGAGCTTTGGATACCTGAGCTTTGGTTACCTGACTTGTTCCTTTGTTCGAATGATCTAATAACAGTTGTAGGAAGCTAGTGGGATGAAAAGATGAAAGGAAAATCATAGAAATCTTTTATGGTTAAGTACTCACTGCCACCAAAATAAATCAACTTCTAGAATAGTAAGTTATAACTTTTATTGATGCGTGATAAATATGATACCATTAATTATAAAAAACATTTTTATTATAGGTAACTGAAGATACAAATGTTAATATTACGCATTTGGCAGAAAACGGCTCATGAAGCCGGTGGAGAAGCCCAAACGGGGCCTAAAATTCTAATCATACTCGGTTATTGAACTCCTTCAAAAGCAAGATTCCCACTTCTTTTGATACAAAAAGCGAGTAATTTGACTAATTATATATATATATATATATTACATTTATGACATCAAATAAGTATACTATAAAAATATATTTAATAATATATCTAATAATACTAATTTTATATAATAAATATTTTACCTTTTTAACAATTTTTTGAGAATTACACAGTACAACACAGACGCTCACAACACGCGCGCACACACACTCACCCCTAGAACACACGTACGTAAACCCTACCCCTATGAGCACCTCCGAAGGACTAAGCCGGCATATCTCTAGATTCACGAAGTCACCACAGACGTCCACTGAAAACATAGCGCCGTTAAATCCTAAAATAAATCCAGGAAAATGAGAGCACCCGTGCCAAGTCGAGGACTTCAACCTGGTGGACAGGTTCCATGCCACGCCAAGTAACCTAACCAACGGATCTATGATCAGTCCGCACCTTTTAAACAAAACTTAGTTGAATTTACAAAACTTTTTTTTTGATACATTTGAATTATAAAACTTTCACAACAACTATGTGAGATGATTTATTCAGCATGTTCGCTTGTTAGTTTTAGTCAGGGCTTATCAGGCAGCCAACAGTGTTTTCTTTTCACAACAAACCAGCACCAGTCGAACTTATTAACACAAAAATCAACCAGCGAACAGGCTGATTGAAGATGGAGGTACTACGATACAACCTCGCTAATTTACAACCAAATCACAGCGGAATTGCATTAAGAGAATAAAAGGGAATAAAGTAAAAGGAACGAGAAGAATAACCGCGTGTTTGAAATTGCATCGTGGGGCGGTCCTGGCCTAGAGTCATCCGATTCTAAAACCAGGCTTGCCATTTCATTTGGATTGTGAAGCAAAATCATCTCGTCCGTTACTTACTGATCCTTTATAAGAAATATTGTAAGAGCATCTCCAAGAGTTTTTAAAACCCACTTTTAATCTTGATTTTTAGCAAGATTAAAAAAATCTGCTCTTCAATAATTCCTTATTACCTACCTGTCTTTCCGTACTTGGACAAATCGTTTAATCGTGCGGAAATATACACACGCACATCAATCAGTGAATCTGGAGGTGTAAGGATGCCCAGAGAAAATAATAAGGATTCCCAATACAAATATACAAGAGACAAAGAAAGTATAAAAGTAGTTAGAGTTATTTAGAAATAGTTTAGAATTCTTGATACATAATTGTCTTCTGTCTTTTAGCAGGGATTTTGGAAATAGTTGGAGGAACCTTCCTAAGTCCCAACCTTTTTTAGCCATTTCAAAAACTTATTGATTTACCGATTATTTTTTAGAATTATTGGAGATGTTCTAAGTCAAGAATCAGAACCTGGTTATTCGGCAGGAAAACAGTGGATGACTCCGTCTCGAATGGGATCGACCTAGGTGGACTAAACATGCAAACCAAATACGTTGCATGTATCCGAATGCCCTCTGCGAGTGGCATTAAACTCTGTATCCTGGGAGCTCTTCTCCCTCGTTGCAGCCTCATGCTGCTAATATAATTGCCAGTTATAAAAAAAAAAGTATAAGCTAACACTAGCTCTAAGCTGTTAAGATAGGCCACAACGAACAGCCTCCAACATCGTGCTGTGAGAGAGGGATGTATCGTGAAATGTGCGAGACTATCTCTTTGAATCAATACTAGTATCTTACTTTTTGCACTATTCGTTGATTTAAAATTTGATTCAACTAGCTCTAAGCTAAAATGTTAAAGACATCTTTATGGATCTTGCAGCCGCACCACATCAACAGAAACAACCATCTCATGGATCGGGACTGAGATCCCGTGCAGTTGCTATTGCTACTGCAACTTACAGCGGCGAAGCCACAGTGCATGTGTCGGGGTCATGCGACCCCGAAGCCACAGTGCATGTGTCGGGGTCATGCGACCCCGATAACTTTGTACGAATCAGTGGAACCTCGCGTATTCCGGCCAGCTACGACCCCATCAGATTAAGTTCATGAATCTGTGCGACCCCGACAGCAGTTTAGTCTAGATTCGCCGCTGGCAACTTATGCAGTTGGACGTTTTCAGCCTTCCGATGACCATCCGACGGCCCAAGCGAACCAAGCAACTCAGCCTGTTCGGTTGGCTGGTTCGTATCGTTGCTGGTTCGTGAAGAAGTACTGCTGGCTGGTTTGTGTGAGAGAAAAATACTGTTCCGGCTGAAAATTTACGATCGTTTACGACAAGGCACAGCCAAACGAACAGGCTGAGCTCTTCCTCCTCTGCACTCTGCTGCTTGTCTCTTGTTCAAGGAACCAAGCACGGTGGCATGGACGGCCAACGGCACGACGCTGGCCACCTGCTCCGCGGCAAGGGCAAGGTACCTGACCTGCTCCTTCGTGAGCCACACACCCTGGCCCTCGTGGCCACCGCGAACACCATCACATTTCTCAGCTGCTGGCCACGGCCCCACGACGAGCGCGCGCCGGAATAGGACACCAGGACGTTGCCGCCGCCGCGGTACTCCATGTTGTAATCTAGTTGCATTTTGTTTCAGTTATAGATTTGCATTAGGTGCATGTTTATCTTGTAATCGGTCACGAGTGGCAGCGGCGTGCTTGTACACGTCGTGACTGCGTCCAATTTCTGTTTGCACCCGCCACGGTGATCACGGCAGCCACGTAGCGCACGTCGTCGCAAAATCAGGGGCATCGCCCACCGTGCGAGCTGTGGCCGGGAGGTCGGGCTACGAAGCCCGTGTATTCATTGTGTATATGTGTATGCATTGTCTATATGCGTCCACCATTCGTGTTTTGCCGATCCTGGCCGAGCTGCAATCTCCGGCAGCCGGTCTCAACACTCCACGATGACCGTCTCATTGCGGCAGTTGTCTGCGTGCATGGCAGCATTGAGATGCTAGGAGAGGATCAAGGAAGAGGAGGACTGGTGAGGGCAGCGGGCCGGCGACGTTGATGTCACGCATGGAGAGCGACGCGACGTAGAAGGACGGCACGCGGCAGCGGATCGGAAGGCTAGATACACGCCGCCGATGAAAGAGGAGGTGGTGCATGTCCATCAACAGGGGCGGCGAAGCATGCAGCAACAGGCGATGGCCACTGCCACTCTAAACTCTGAAGACCACCGTGCCCGTGCGGCTGCGCTCCAGCAAGGTGCTGCTGCGGACGTTCACCGTTCATGTCAACTACGTGAAAAATGGTTCGTAGTAACGGATTAAATTTTTTTTAGGGGTAGCTGATGATGGAGCCGTCCATATAGTGACGTGCTCAGGATCCACAAGACCAGCCGTCCCTACAAATAAAACAGTAGGGGTGACTGGTGATATGAGTCGTCCTACAAATGGGTAGGATTTGTAGGGGTGGCTCACTCACCAGCCGCCCCCGGTGTTGTTATTTGTAGGGACGGCTGGTGATTGAGCCGTTCCTATAAATGCTCCATGTATAAATACTTGGGATTTGTAGGGGTGGCTTAATCACCGGCTGCCCCTACAAATGTCCTCTGTATAAATGGCTGCAACCCCTTTTTTCTTTCTCGGGTCACTCACTCCAACCCATGAAAGAAAGGTGGAGAGGCCTTAGGCACCTCCCAAAAATTGCTCTACTAAGGAGAAAAGGTTTTGGTCTCAAATTCTTTGGTGGAGATGTTGTATAAGGTAAGAAAATGCTATTTCATACTTTTTTGAAGTTTTAATGGTTGGTTAGTGAGTAATTAGAGTTTTATTTTTCTCTCTCTTTTATGGTGCTTGAGCTACTTATAAAGCAAATTAGATCCAAGTTTTGAATATACTAGGATAAATTAGGTAGGGGAACAAGATCATACCATTATTTGGTCCATGTTTCTTTATTTTAGTGAACAATTAGTTAGTTTTATGGATATTTCATGTGCATGTAGATCTAGATCTAGGATCTGGTTTTTTTATTAATTTTATTTTTGTAAATTTATGTTTGATGAAATTGGACTAGGATTTGCATAAAAGATATTGGGTAAAATATAATTGTTGCTAATTGTTATCTTTGAAATTGTTTATTGTAATCAACAAATGTGTATTTTAATTATTTATGGATAAATGGGTCATTAATTAATTTTTCTCTACCATGGTGTGTTTGTATGCTTCATGTAATTATATTTGATTTATATTCATATATATCTAAAGTATATACAATTATTCTCAAGTAATTATTAATTTGATTCATTTTTATATATATCTGAATAAGTAGTCCTTTAATGTTTGTTTTGTTGTTGTTGTAAAAGATGGAGTATAGGAACTCTTGGATGTATGGTTCGTTAAGGTTCAAGGCAGGTTTCCGTGAAGAGGTGGATAAATTTATTGAAGTCGCAAAGAAGCAAGCAACGATGTTGATAGAGAATAAGGATATAATTATTTATCCCTATAAAGATTGCAAGAATCGTATGGCATGGACAGATGTGACTATCATCAGATCATATTTGATTATGCGAGGATTTGTTGAGGACTACACAGTGTGAATTCATCATGGTAA